ATTCGAGAGGAAGAACAACTCTCCACAAGTCTCTAGCAAACCCTAGAGCCCAAGCACACAATGAGATCTCAAACTTTTCATTCAAATTCAAGATGAGGACCTAATTCCCCCCTTTCCCCCTCTTTAACTCTCATCCCCATACAAAATCCCTAAACAGCCCTTCTATTCAAATTCTCCCCCTTTCCATTCAAATTTTCCCTCCAACCCTTGAATTAACTCCATGTGGGGCCCGCATAGAGTAAGGACCGGAGGGGCCCGCTTAACACCTTGCCATCACCTCCAAAAGTTATCGTTAAACTACCCGCAACACCTTCACTAGACATCAACAAATAGAGCCACAATTATATTCATAAGCTCCGGACTACATGCTCCTTCAAATCTTATATGCATGCGATGGATCTCTCTTCACCTTGGGGATTGGACATTTTTCTCCTAAGCAGAATTTGATTTTTTTTCTCTTTAAATTGTTGTAACAATCCATTCTCTTTTCCACCGTTGAATTTTTTTTCATACACAATTTCATGGTCATATATGATTCATTTGATCATCAATTAGATTTTCAACATTTTCTTAATGGATAACTCTAATTGTGCAAGATGATATTTTGCAATGTTGAAGGACTTATAAATGACTTAGAATTAATTGCATGTTTCGTTGATAATGTATTAAGTTAATTTGGTAGTTTTGATAAATTGATTGCTAAAATTCATGGATAAAAGTATACTTTTTAAACAGGCTTCTATTTGCTATCGAAATATTTTTGTTTATTTTGTATGCTTAATGAATGGTTCAAATATTATGAAAATGGGTAGAATGTAGTCAATTAAATAATTTTCATGTTTTTTATCATAATTAGCAATATAATTTTTATAATCAAGAGAAGTGATCTTGTGGGTCTGATAACAAATTTTGACCAAGGGCCAATTTGGACACATTACAACGACACTTGCCAAAATATTTGACCAAAAGCACATTATAATTTTCGATCGTAGCTTTTTTGGATTATGTACCTAGGTTCAGGGCCAGAAAAGCTGCTATTTGCTCATGTGCAGGTGAAAAAATTACTTGTCTGTATTGTCTTGGACAAGTTACTTGTAGGCTTGTAGCTACATTTGGGCTCTTAAAATTCATGCCCAACTCTTCTGAGAGTTTTATGTTCTGAGTCAAATTATTAGAAGGCATCTTAGATTGCAAATCAGATGTTACCCACAAATTTCAGTCTTATTTTATGAAGACCTTATGATTGAATTTCAAGTTTCCTATAGGCGCAAGCTTCTATATTTTATCATGCCTCATGGTGACGAGATAATTTAATGTTAAGACTAGTCGATAAATGCTTAGCTTATAGTGGCAACACATTTTGCTTTTATGATAAAAAATTTATTGCCGTTTGCCTAAAGTTGATGTTAGGGGAAACTGATTAAGATTCCATAGTTTCGTCGTCTCGGGTTGTTATGGTCCCTGATCTACTTTGTTATCGGAGGTAGTTGATCCAACTTGATCGATGAATCTTTGTTGGCAACTATAGGTTGGCATCCATGAGAATCTTATGGACTTGGGTTGGACTTTGATAAGAAGGATAATTTTATGTTGACCATAGCTAATACAAGGTTTTGTGCCATCTCAAGGTTCCTATAATTCGAAGGGACATCCAGGCTATGCCTGTGATCATAGTATAATGATGCAGTTTGCAGTGAAAACATTGGGTCGGAAGACCCCGACAATTTGGTGGTGAAATCACTTTTTTAGAGGACGCATGTGACATTCTCATCAATATAAGATTTTGAGAGTAAATATTGTGATGCACTTGATATAACGTTGGCTCTTTAATGTGACTTCAAAAAGGTTGAATTGGCTGACTAAAAATTATGATAAATAAATTCTTAAAAACCTTATCGAGCATCTTCATGAAATAAATAGTGTTAAAAATTTCACTTGATATATATATATATATATATATATATAATTTTTTTAATTATATTTTTTTATTGAGAATTTGGGCCCCAAATGATTCATAAAGGAAGTGGGGTTTGGGGGGCATTTTGATGATAAGATCCCTTTCGGTTGAAACTTTCTATTACCACAGCCATCATTGGGCCGACTATTTGAAAAATTTGGACTTTGTAGTTTGAAGATTTTGATTTTAAAAGTAAACCCCCTCTGGTTGTGATGTGCAATGAGCATGCCCATCATAAGGGTGTTTAAATAACTTCATTTTATTGCTTTTGATCTTTTGACACAGACAGCACTGATACTAATCTTGCATATAGATTTTTGTTTTGACATGTACATGAATAATATAGATGATACCAATAGAAAATATTATGCAAAATTACTATTTATATAATCTCATATTGATATGTTATTGTTTATATGGATTGATACTATTCATACTGATTGTCACATGTTCATACTGATATTATATGAATGATTGCATACATTTTTTTTGGTGCATTGAATGCAGTTGTAAGTTTTGCTACCTATCGTGCTTGCTTCTCATTATGTCATTTATAATTTAAGGGAAGGCTAAAGACCCAGAGCAATGAGGATTAATCTAGAGTTGTTAGTGATAGATATTTTATTTGATATTTATTTTTTGTAGTCATGAATGTGTATAGGATAAAGGCTTGACATTGTTGGTTAAATGCTTGATGTTGTTGTTATTGCATGAATGTGTAGATAATATATTGATGCAAGAGATTGTATTTATAGTTAATGTATATGATTCTTTTGGGGATATAATAGAAATGTAAATGTATATTTTTGTGATGTTATATGAAATGAAATGCTGCTTTCGCTGTATTAAATTTTGTACATGGATGTTATAGTGGCTCTGGTAGGTAATTAGAAGATTAAAAGAGACGACTATTCCAAATTAAATTTTGGTGCGTGGCACATTTTGTTCTCCTTTATGTTTATTTTCATATTGCATTTAAGTTCAATGGTCCCTTGTGTTTCGTCCTTTTCAAGTTTGTACTTTGTTTATTTCGGTGGCCTATTAACATCTCCCACATGTAGAGGGCATTTACAAGGAATTTTGGCTTCCCCTCGCTTAAAAAAGAATGCATGATCTTTGTCCAAAGGCACTGCCCTAGGTAGTTTTCTAACCCACCACATTTAAAAAAGTGCACATAGGCCTTCATGACCTACACAAGAGAACACAATATTTCACCGCACAAGCACTTA